AAGCAACAACCTTTAAAAGCATAACATATATCCATAAGAAACTTGCAGCTAACTTAAGGACTTCATTTAATCTTTTTTGTATGGAAAAATAAACAACAAACCTCCACTTCTTCAGTTATGGGGCGACTAAAGCTATCCATCAGTGTTACATCTAATGAAAAGTTTCTCCGGCAGGAGGCCTGCATTAAACATACAGGTAAAGGAGTAAAAAGAAACTCATACCGAATAACATAAATATGTGAATACCTCAGCAAACTCCCTCTTGCTAATTTAATCTTCATGCGAGCATCAAATGTACCACCTACAGCTTTTCACCATGTTCATCTCAGAATACTGTAGTTCTCTCTCTCTCTAACTCGGTTGCTTTCTCACCACTACCTCAACCAGCACACTAATTACTACAACATATTGCATGGTAATACAGGTCCACACTCCTCCAAGCCCTTGAGAGATGTTAGAATGTCATTGACAACAGTTGAAGATTTAAGATCAGCAATAGTTAAATTCAACATCTTATCACCAAAAGAGGCATACTTTAGAATTTTTTGAAGAACCAGCATTACAAAAAAAAATGCTAAACTATGCCTTTATCATTGATAAGATATCAAAGTTAACCATTTCTGATCTTAAATCTTCAACGGTTGTCAATGACATTCTCGCATCACTGAAGGACTGGAGGAGTGTGGATTTCATGTAACATAGCAAGCTTTCACCACCTAGCTTTTTTTCCATCAATTAAAAATCAACTTAAAATAGAAGATATACGACAAAGTTGAGAGTTATGGCATATGTTTGAGACACTCTAATGACAAAGTTGAGGAGTTATGGCATATGTTTAAGACACTCTAAAGTTACAGTACTCGATCCCGGGAAGACTATTCAAAACAGAACTAGAAGTCTGAAACGGGATGCAGGGATCAACTTTTATAATGTTCCTCGACTGATTTGCATCCAAATAATTTTATCAAGATTATTATTCCCCCTGGATATCATTTCCAAAGAATTTCAAAGTAGTATATCTTTATTACCTTTCCACCAACAATACTCCAAACACCATCGGTGTCTTCTTCAATTTCATACGCGCTTGAACTATCGATAGATAGTTGTACTGGAGGGTCCTGATAGGAGCACAAACCAATTAGCAGAAACTAGTAAATACATGAGTAGACACAACAACAACAACAACAAAAACAACAACAAAAAACCCAAAAGAATCCCACAAGTGGGGTCTAGGGAGGGTAGTGTGTACGCAGACCTTACCCCTACCTTGGGAAGGTAGAGAGGTCGTTTCTGATAGACCCTCGGCACATGAGTAGACACAATCTTCGTAAAATTAATGACAATGTTGTTTACCTTAACATAGTGATTTTTGATAGATGATACTACTGGCAAGAGCTCTGCACTGTACACATAACCATCCAGCTGAGAACCCTTTCCACTAATGCAAGGCAAAGATATTTCAGAACTGTCTGATACTGAATCATTATTGAGTGAGGACGTCAAAGACTTCTCGCCTACAATCTCCCCATCAAGGTAGAGGCGCAAAAGATCTTTTGTGACCTGAAATGCTCCAAGGATAAGGGTTTCTTAAACAGCCATAAAACAAGACAAAGTCACCAAAATTCTGGCAGTCAGAGAAGAGCAGATGACAACCTGATGAGATCTTTGGACTGGTGATAGCTTTAGGATGATCCAATTAGTGTATTACCTTTGTTCCATCTCAGGGCACATTTTATCAAAGATAACACAACACGTCATACCAACAATCATACTAATACTACTCTTCTTCGTGCTGTCAGAACATACATGCTGATGTCACTAGTGTAGTCTGCTGGACCAAACCCAGTTGACGCAGATGACTCGTGGAGCTATTGGACAATGAGTTCACTAATCAATTTAGCTTTGCCAAATTTTGGGGCAGAAAAACATCATTTGGCAATTGTTTTCATTTTGTTATCAAGAAGTGGAAAGCCACTAGGCCTAAGCCAGTATTTTGGTTTCCCTACTCTTGTTAAAGCTCGCTTATTCAGAGCAAACTTAATGTTGAAATCAATATGCCTAATATAGTGAGAATGTGCAAAAAACATTAACTATAGAAGGTAACAATGGCCATTCTGGAGTAAGAAATTAGTAACACGACCATGTAAGAGTAGATAAATGGCAAAACAACGCATCAACTGCTATGAATGTTGACTTGGAGGAAGTAGGACAGGTCCAAGTTATTTACCTCACATCCAACATGAACCCATTTCTTCATAGGAAATTCACTTTCTGAAGTTGCATATGCATCTTCCCTCCACGAAGTTAGTAAAGGATAAAGTAAAAGTCTCTTCTTCTCATCAAGTAACAGGAAAGGAGCATGGGATGTGGCAACTGGATGCTTCTGCATAATCTAACAACCATCAAAAACCATATGAAAGGAAAATGGTGCAAAGGAACAAGTTGTTATCTTGCAGAACATAGCCAACAGAGTGATCATAAGGATTCAAAAGCCTCTTCCTTTAATTTTACTGGAAACAAATGGAGGACATGGTTAGGTTTATGACTTTGCCGAAAAGTACTCAACTCTCAAAAAACTCTATCTGTTAGTAGGAAAGCATGATTTGCAGATAGCTACATGTGGTGACAAATTCAATTACCAAAAATCAAAAGCTAATAGGCAACACGAAGTAATGATGAAATACTATATAGACTTAAAGATAAAGATAGTACTAGGGTAACCCTGAACACAACATAATCGAGACTTTTGCTAAGTTGGCAAACATATCCTAAAGGCAAATGACCAGAAAATATGAACAGTTCACATTAGCCAGAAGACAAAGTTTGCAACTTGCAAATAGTTGCAATTATCTAAAACCATGTATACGCTATAAAGTAAGAATCTTTTCAACAAGAATGAAACCTAAATCAGAAACTTTAAAGTAACCACTACATATAATTATATGACATTATCAAGATTTCATCAGATCAAATTGAAAAGAAGGGAAAAGAGCAAATGAATACATACCAAATAGTAATTAGGATATCTAGAGAAAATAAAGCTGCAAATAAACCGCAAACAACTGAAAAGAACAGCTATAAAAGAGTTTTACCTGCAGAAGAATTGTGGAGGGTAAAGTTGAGGCCTTATTCAAGTAAAACCAGAAGCAGAGAAAGAACCCATTTGTGCCATCATAATCTTTGAATTCCACTTGAAGATCTTCCAAAAAGCCATAATCTTGAATACCCATAATTCCCTTTTCAGCTTTCTTGAAAAACAAAAAATAAAGAATACCAACAAGTCCAAAATCCCAACGAAGCAGTTGTAATATTCGTCACTATCTGTTGAAGCAGTTCTGGGGGCAATGGTGTTTTCTTGACGGCTGTTAAATAACGGTTGGTAGTGTCAATCGGCAGTTCAGGTTCCAGTCTTTCACAGTTCCCCCCAAACCGAAGAAGTATTTGGGTAGAATCGTATGTATCGCGGACTAGCGTACATTTAACAGTTAACAAATAAGGGAGAGACAGGTAGGATTTAATTGGTGTATTAAGTGTAAAAAGTGCGGTAAGAATTGTCATTTTAAATCGGCGCTTTCAACGCGAAAGTCTGCCTTTTTTCAACACGATTTCTGCCTATTTATAGTTTGCTTTTTGCTTGGAATTGCATTTTTTTTAGGGTTACGAAATTATGCTACTATTTACATTTTGAAAATTTAAAGGCTTTTGCCTAGTAAGAAAATTGGAACTTGAAATCAAAAGAAAACAACTTCATGGGTGCGTTTGGCATGAAGAAAAATATTTTTCGGAAAATATTTTTTAATTTTTTTATATTTTGTTGGCTTAAATGTTTTGAAAAATATTGTCCTCGTTAAATTCTTGAATTTGGAGGGGGGAGGGAGAGGGGAGCACAGGAAACATGGGGACTTGGGGTAAGGGGGTGAGGAGAGTAGCATAAAAAATTATTTTCCTAAAAAATATTTTCTACTCTTTAATCAAACACTAGAAAAATATTTTTCGAAAAAAGTTTTTCGCTCACCCACCAAACAATAGAAAATAATTCATAAAACTACTCATTTTCCATGAAAACGTTTTCTAGGAAAATATTTTCCTTCGTACCAAACACACCCCATAATTTAAATACTTTTACATACATATACATCAACAATCACACAAAAATATTTGAATTGTGTGTACATTGTGTCGATTTAAAAATCACCTTAGTTTATGAAAACACTCTTTGCAATATTTTTGGCTCATTTGAATTATTGAATAGAATATGTATGTTAAAATTTTACTTTCAGGCTGTTATTTTTTCACGTTCTTTCTAATATGGTATTCTCTAGCAAACTTAATAGGATATCATTTTGTCTACTACTATGCATAATATAAGTAGGATCTGAGGTTGCTTATTATTTGGCTACCTATAAGGAAGTTAGTTTTCTAGCTGAACGCACAAATATTCCCAATAAGAGGACAATGATAAATCATGAAATGGTATAACTGACTTAGTTCATGAGCTTTTATTTTCACTTAGCTTTCTTTAATCACGGAATAGAAGCAAAACCTTATGAGTTATCTACTATATATGAAGTTCAAACTATTGTTTTAACTCAAAGTCGTGGAAAATCCTCCTGTGTTTTCATTTTAGTTGTTTAAACGGGAAGTGTCATTTTGGTAATGAGGAAATAGAACTCCAGTAAATTGGAGTAAGCGACTCTAATGACAACTTACTCTCCCTTGACATTTACCTGTTCAAATAGTAATGAAATATCTCGGAAAGCGCAGACGTGAACTTGTTCTGAGTTTAGGCATAATTTGTTAAGGTATATTTACAAACTATATTAGGTTCGAACCTTAATTTATTGAGAAAATGCATAGTGTTTTCGTGTTTAGACAACAGATATCCACGGGCAATGTGTAAAAGGGAGAGGATCCCTCAGTATATTTGCCCAAATATACCAAACATCAGAAGACTGCGCCTCTTTCCAAATTGGATGCTACAGTCATCACATGAGCCAATAGAACCTATGAACATGTAGGACACTTACGTAGAGTATGCTGAAAATGTATGTGTACATTTATAACACAAATATTACATATGTGAACATATCAGTAGAAATGAACTTAAACATCACACAGAAGTAACCCTCAAGCTTAAAATAAAAGCTACATCCCTGCATGTGAAGAAATTCTGCAGCTTGATATCTTCTACTTGTCATGAAATCGATACCTTTTGGTCGTCTGCTACACAACACATTTTTACTTTGGCTTCAATTTCAGGGCAGCACTGCACACATAAACAGAGTTGTAAATCTCAGAGAAACACTAAGGAAACAAGAGCACAGCCCACAATAAATGATGTTATATACCTATTGATGCAGTAACGCTTTCCAGTAGGCGGAGGACCATCATCAAACACGTGTCCAAGATGAGCATCGCAAGCTGCACATAGAACTTCTTGACGAGGCATGAAAATGATAGACAAGTCCATCTTTGACTTCACATTGTTGCCTACGGGTTGGTAATAAGATGGCCACCCAGTCCCACTATCAAATTTGGTAGAAGATCTGCAACAAGCAATATCGAATTTCAGATATCACATCTTAACAGAAGTATTAAGTATAGTTTTCTTAAAGAAAATTGAGTAATTAATCAAATACAAAGAGAATACATACTCAAACAAAGGAGTGTCACAGCAGATGCAATGATATGTTCCAGGGGTTTTGGTGTTCCAGTACTCCCTGAAAACGAAAACAAAGAAGAGATCAGTAAAACAGGCAGCAAAAAGAACATTTATAGCAGCATGTTTGCCATCCCAACCTATAGGCAAAAGCAGCAATGCAGTTAGATCTATTCCATAACCGATACAATCATGTTATATATTTTTAATAAATTATGGACCACAGTTGGACGGAACTTAGAAACTTGTCTGCGCATATAATGTTTAAAATTCCTTCGTGCCGAGGGTCTACCGGAAACAGCCTCTCTACTCCTCCGGAGTAGGGGTAAGGTCTGCGTACACACTACCCTCCCCAGACCCCACTTGTGGGATCTCACTGGGCGGCTGTTGTTGTTGTTGCATATAATGTTTAAAATTCCTTCGTGCCGAGGGTCTACCGGAAACAGCCTCTCTACTCCTCCGGAGTAGGGGTAAGGTCTGCGTACACACTACCCTCCCCAGACCCCACTTGTGGGATCTCACTGGGCGGCTGTTGTTGTTGTTGCATATAATGTTTAAAATATGGACCATAATTGGACAGAACTTAGAAACTTGTCTGCGCATATAATGTTTAGACATTCCAATTAACCACGTCAGCATCAATAACCATAGCACATTTAGTGTTGTATTCTGAACTCATGGTTGAAATCAATTAGGGGAAAGATGCTCAAAATGTTGCATAGACTAAAGGATATCATCTAGTTCCTGACTCTTGCTTTAAGTAAAATTCAAGAGACACATAATTCAGTATGCTGATTCTCTCCGACTTGTTTCCCTATCCCCGCAGTGTGTAAAATAGCAGCAAGGGGAAAAGAGAGAAAATTAAGTATGTGTTATTGGTCCCAGTACTCTATTCAACACAGTAAAGTGCGTGATCATATCAAAGTTCTAAAGGTGGATGGGTCCAAATGGACAAATCAGCAGATAGTTTTGTTTTTGTAAAGGATCCAAGAAGCTTTGCCAAAGGTTGTTGCCAGTTAGTTGAATCTTGAAAGCCAAGTTTTTTGTAAAAAATTGGAATATCTCACGACCAAGTCGTCAACCTTTTTCTTCCAAAAATGTTGTGGCAAAATCACATATACATACCCAAGTCAGCAACCCTTTTCTTCCAAAACCTAATTCCCCAATTAACCAACCTCCTCATCCTCCTCAATTGTAAATTCAATGTTTGAGCAATCATCGACACAATGGTAAGCATCAAAGTACTTGACAAGCAATATTCAGAGGAATACATAGAGTTGAACATAGTAAAATAAGAAATTGAAAGATTTCGTTGAAATTGTTCGTTTGGAAATTTCCCGAAAAGCTAATCATAGGTTCTTCTCTCCATCGGTCTTAAAGTCCCCTTGAAGTATCAACTAATAAGAAAGATATTAGACAACCCCTCTTTTTTCTTTTTCACAAATAGGAAGCTTCGAATCCAATTTGGATATTAAAAGGATTACCAGATATAACACAAAATCTCTCCACCTATTCCTTCTAGTCGAGCCTCTCGGTCTGTCATTATACCTCGAGAAGTAGAAAGAATTACAATCCCCATTCCACCTAAAATTCGCGGAATTCGTTGATGGTTCCTTAAGAGAGCATCCTAGTATTATTGAAGTCTACTAACAAGCAAAAGGACAAAAGATACAATCCCACATAAAAAGAACAAACATACCCAGTGAATGCCCGTTCTGTACCCTTTTGCCGTGTGATGTTAAATTGTTCCTTTGTTAGCTGCTTCCTCCACTCCTCATCACTTACAGAGCTATAATCTACTTTGCTGGCCCCTGCATAATGTGCATTTTATGTGTCATGGTAAGATGATTCTCACTTCTGAAAGCACCATGCTTTAACTATTTCAACAACATCGCACACGATGCTTAGACAAATATGCCTCACAAAGCTTATTTTATGCCAAACCATTGTGAGACTACTTCACAAAAGTCAATTATCCTAAGCATTCCATTAATCTTATCCTAGTAACATCGAGTCTTTCTTGTTAAAATGGCATATACCAACTGCTATTACTCAGTAAAACTTCAATTTCCAATTTAACTTGGTACAAATTCTGCAAAATAACATCAGAATCTAAAAGAAATAATAACAGGCTTAGAACGAAAGAACTAAAAACTGAACCTTTGAAGTTCTTCATATTCTAACTTTTGCCACCATGTGAAATCATTTCTTAATCCAAAATCCATTCCATATATAGCTCTCCATACAAATAGAAAAAATGGGATATCCTATCACTATTCATCATAAGCAAAAAAATTAAAATTATGATTTGCCTAAGATATTAATTCTATCCTACGCTTTAAAATACTAGTAAAATAGAGTCCCTTCACTATCTTCCGCATGAACTAGCCGTAATANGAGAGAGAGAGAGCACTGTCTGGTTTTGGAGAAGAAGCTGAAGAGCCCATCGCACGAATTGAGACCGAAATTCTGGGTCTGGATTTGTTTAGCGCTCCAAAAGTTACGCAAGACAATGGCTTGCTAGTAATATGGGATTTTGATGAAAAATTCACCGCTGAGCTCAATGGGCATGGTATGGTCCGAGAAGCCATGAACAAATACGAAAACTGATTCTTGAATAGGAATATGCTCGCAATTTCTAGCATTTGTGGGGGTGATGTTCCCCTGCTCCGCAAGCCCATTGACAGATTATGCTTTCATAATCTTAAGCCGTTAAGCTGTTGACTATCATTGATATGTATGCCCTGTAGTATGAGAACCAAGATGCAAGCAATAACACTCCTAGTGATTTTTAGGGATATTTCATACACTAAAATTGTGCATTTATCTACGAACTTGTAAGATAGAGGGAACATATTTATTTTATGTTTATTAATTAATGATACATTTATTTTTTAACATGACAATTTAATTATTTTTTCTATGATTAAGTACGTGTTAGTAAGAATTGAGTCAAGCACTTTCTTCTGCCCTAATACTATAATAAATTACGCAATCACCTTGAAAAGTCTAAATTGCTAGAGAAGAAAAATATTTTTGTTTATGTTATATTTGCAACATTTCATCCCAACTACTACTAATAATTTTAACCTGTCTCTGCTCAGCTCCTATGACGGTATGACCTATCTACAATCAGAGTGGTAATGACTAGCTTTTGCTCATGAACTCGAGTGTAGCTGAATATGCCTTATTTTGACTAGTGGCGCTATTTCTTTTAGCTAAATTATTATAGGTTTATCTCTAGCCACGTAGACCGAAAAGATACCAATGGCCAATGGGCTTTGGTTTCCGCTAGTATTAGATGGACCGGGCCACAATCATAACTGGGCCGCTAATACTCTGACGTGGAACACTAATCCTGAATAGAGAAACCGTGGCATCCACGCATCTTAACAAGCGTGAGTTGTCAGAGTCCACAATAAAATACTGTTTGTCACATGTGGAATCGTCAATAACAAAAACCTGAACACTACAGAAATGACTCAAAGACGAGAGAGAGACAGTGAAGAAGAAGAAGAAGAAGAAGAAAGGGACATTACAGGGAATATGAGGAGTTTAACAACACCTTTACAATCAAAGCATTGGCATCCAACAGCCCAAAACAACCTCAAAAAATCAGAAAGCAACAATCTTTACAGCTACCCTCTTCAATTTAATGTCAACAACAGCAACAACCCGTTATCAAGAAAAGTAAAACCCATATCTTGTTTTGCTTCAGAAAACACAAATCAACCAATCTTGAAAGAATCAAAGCCACCACTAGTAGTAGTTGGATCAGCCAATGCAGACATATATGTGGAGATAGATAGGTTACCAAAAGAAGGGGAAACAATTTCAGCCAAAACTGGTCAAACATTGGCTGGTGGAAAAGGTGCAAATCAAGCTGTTTGTGGTGGGAAGCTTTCATACCCAACTTTCTTTATTGGTCAAGTTGGTGAAGATGCACATGGGAAGTTGATTACTGAAGCGTTAGAGAATGGTGGGGTGTATTTGGATCACCTCACTACTGTTTCTAATGCTCCTACAGGACATGCTGTTGTGATGCTTCAGTCTGATGGGCAGAATTCTATTATTATTGTTGGTGGTGCCAACATGTCTTGTTGGCCTGAAAATTTAGCTGATGAGGATTTGGAGATTGTGAGGAATGCAGGGATTGTATTGCTCCAAAGGGAAATTCCTGATTTTGTTAACATCCAAGTCGCAAAGGTTTGATCTTTGGATTTATTTTTGTGATTTCTCTAAAGGCTTCATTCATTTAGGCAAAATTCAATTAGTGTGTGGACTGTCAAACTAAGGATTGAATTTATATTTCTTCCCTATTGGTGTGTCTGCTAAAGAAGTGTTAGATGTTATTAGAGTTGTTTACAAGAAGTAAAATTTAAAAGTTTTTATCCTAAAAAGGATGGAGTGGAGAGAGAGTTGGAGTTTTGTTAAGGTATTACAAAAAGATATTAGAGATAGAATAGCAAAAATGTTGGTCGAACCAAAAATTCTATAAGCTAAAAATTCAAAAGTTGGAGGTGATCAACTATGGTTTGAGCTCTGGATTTATTTCTGATTTATCTAAGGCTTGATTCGTTTAGGCGAAATTTAATTAGTCTGTGGACTCTTAAACTAAGGGTTGATTTATGTTTCTTCATTAATTCTCTTAAGATTTCTTAATCTTTATGTTTTTGATGAATTTGAGGCTATCCTTGATGAATTATTATCTCTGTAAGTAAAGAAAGGTAGATTATAACAATGTGTTTTAGTTGCATCCATGTTGCAAAGGTATGACCTTTGGATTTACTTCTGATTTCTCTAAGGCTTGATTCATTTAGGCGAAATTCGATTAGTGTGTGAACGGTCAAACTGATGTTCGAATTTATATTTCTTCACTATTTCTCTCATGCTGTCCTAATTTTTATGTTTTCTGCTGAAATTGAGGTTCTCCTTTTGAGGAAACATTGTCTCATTTAAGTAAAGAAAGGTACTTCATAATTATGCGTTTTCCTCACCTACCTTTTTCTTGTGGTAAATTAGAATTCGCCTTGGAGACAAAAAGACCAAATAGGGGGGATATCCTTACTAATTGTCCCTTTGACGATTAGGGGAAACTGTCAGATTTTCAATTTTAATCATGATTATCACGTATAGAAAAGGGAATGATATATCCTTCTATTAAATGAAAAAGGAGAAGATTTATTCTCATTCATTTTATGACACACTTTTTGTTTTGGGATGTACCAAAATACTATTCCATTGATGTATTATTTATATAACCTTCAAGAGTTAAAATCCATCTAGCTATTCGAATTAATCTCTAATATGGTATTTTCTTTATGAAACTAACTTTTCAAACATAATTTTAATATTTCTTCTACTACTAATAATAATATATACTAGGCAATTACTATCTTGAACTCCATGTCTAGTCAAACATCGTCATTTATTGAAACAGATGAAGTATATATGTTTTCTTTTTGTCTCTCTTTGTGTGTGTGTGTGTGTGTGTGTGTGTGTATCGAGTGTCTTTGGTTGATATGCTTCTTTAAAACGTCTTGGTATCTTCAGGCTGCCAGGAAAGCACATGTTCCAGTTATTCTAGATGCTGGTGGCGTGGATTCTCCCATCCCTCTAGAACTTCTTCGTTTTGTTGAAATTTTGAGCCCAAATGAAACAGAGCTGGCTCGCATAACAAAAATGCCGACAGAAAGTTTCAACCAAATCAGCAAGGCGGTGGAGAAGTGCTATGAAATGGTTTGTTTTAACTTGCCTATTTTGTTTTTATTGCCTAAAGTTTGCATCCTATTTCTTAGTAGGACACATTATTGCAACGGTTCACTTTGATTTAGACTTTGTCAATAATCCAAAACAACTTGCTAAGTTGAATTTTCCGAGTCCGTGTTGAGGTGTTATGGTTGCCCCCTCATTGATGTTGCAAAATGTAAAGGTCCTATTAGTACTTTTGCTAGGTGAGTTTAAATAGCTGATACATGGCTTTGCTTCTCCTCATAAATATGATGGCCTAGCACTTTGTTGCTTTTGTGGCTCCGGTTTGGTGCACTTACACACAGTAGGGCATTCTGTAAATTTGTGGTTATCTCAGTTTTCATTATGTAGGATGATACTTATATTCTCTTTCATTTCCAGGGAGTTAATGAAGTCCTTGTTAAGCTTGGGTCCAACGGATCTGCTCTTTTCACAAAAGGAGAGGAACCCTTGCAGCAACCCATTATAAAAGCTGCAAAAGTCGTTGATACAACTGGAGCTGGTGACACGTTTACATCTGCTTTTGCAGTAGCCCTGGTTGAGGGGAAATCCAAAAAGGAATGTTTGAGATTTGCTGGTATGCATGCTGCTGCTTTCTTCCAAATTTTTCTTCTCAGTTACCTGTCTGACAAAACCTTCTGCACTTACAGCCGCTGCAGCTTCTCTCTGTGTTCAAGTGAAGGGAGCTATTCCAAGCATGCCCGAGAAGAAAGCAGTTTTCAATCTTCTCCAGTCAGTTTGAAGACTTTGAGTTTCCTTTATCGATGTACTTGTACATAAAAATAAGAGGTAGTCTTCTGATGTTCTTTTTCATGCTTAAAACAACTTTAGTGGGAGATCAACTGATTGGAATGTATGAGGATTATACTAGTTTGTGCTTTGTCATAATCAATAGGAGAAAAAGAAATGATAACACTTGGATGTTGGTTTCCATGTCGACAACAATCTGAAAATATAATGTTGTCTTCACAATGAGGCATATAAATTGGCTACCCAAATTAGTTGAAATAGAAACTTAGAACTTGAATAAAGATGAACAACAAATTAAATCTGAACTTCTCTAAAACTGTGGCATTAATGAAATTTGAAGGTGCCTCATCTGTCGTATATGTGCCTGTTGTATTTGGTTCACTCCAATCTGCAGTTCTGGGTATTGAGACAGAATATCTTATCATTAGTAACACCACTTCTTTTGTTTCTTGAAATGAAGTTTCTCAGGTTAATGAGTTGAAGTTCCAGATTTTTTATTTTCATGAAGAGGTGAGCAATTACTATCTTTGTGTCTCAATTCACTTTTCCTTTTTCATTTGCTCTTTTCTGTGGTATACGTTTTTCCACTTCTCTTTTTCTAAGATCATACTTGTGCATCTGATGTATTTCAGGAGTACCATGGATTACTGGTTGACTTTGAGAAGGAGCGCTGATCTGCATATTTCATTACTTCAGGCAGCCGGTAACAGAGGGGATAGTATTTTGTACTTGAGCTTTCATTACCGATTGGTGCTGGAAATAATGCCAGCTTTGACAAATGTGAGTGACATTTGACTGCTTTTGAGGGTTGAAATGAGCTTCATCTTATTACTGACTGATTCTGCTAATAGTCTTGTGCTTTCTTTTTATTTGTCCATTTAATTTTGAGTTTGATTTAATCAGATGGTCCAAATAATATGCTATTCTACCAATAGATTTTCATACCTGGAAGGCTAGAAAAAGGAAAATATGCCTTCACATCAACCTCAATGCCTTGGGTACTCTATTGTTGTTGGGTTGCTCATCTCGGACTTTCAGTTTATAGATTCTTCAGGCATATAATTTGATCTCCCAATCTGTTTCTAACAAGTTAAAATAAATTATTATTAGATGATTATGGAGTAATGGAAATCAATTCCTAGAGCAAGACTTGGTTATTCCTTCGACAATGCCAGCAGTTTACGGGGTTTGGGGT